GGAAAAGTATAAAAGGGATTAGCCATTTTAAAACAAGCAAATTTTTTTATGAAGAATGCATTTTTCGTAAAATGTCAATAATAAAAAAGTTTTCCCTGTTATAAACACAATCCGGGACCATTGTATGTAAAATTATAATGGGGAATGTCATTGATCGTTATTGCTAAGCCAACTGGACGCCGTTTTTTTTCGAACATATGGTATAAGTACAAAAGTAAGAACCAACTGTTAATCTTTGTTCTAAACAAAATGTGAATTACCACTTAACAAGTATAGCTAGAGACGTGAAATATAAAATAACACGCGACCGGTGCTATCCCCAAGTCTCTTCCTATATTTGTACAACTGTAATTAAAATATCCAATTTACTTCACAAACTTTTAAAATAGGTTAAAATCCATTATGGAGCTACTAGAATAACAATTTTAGCATGCTTATTATGCATAATTCTTGTAGATAATATAATACAGTAAAATTTTATTTCCAAATTAATTTATTGTAAATTTACCAATTTTCATTTGTTTAGGTACTGTATTCTCCAAGACTATATCGTTACCAGTTAATATACTATAGCACAGATTAACTTACAGATGTGCTACTTATTTCATCTTGCTGATAAACGCCGCCGTGGCCTATAATAGAGCTATGGCGTTGTCAAACTTGTTTTTTTCTCGAATGCATAGTTGCCTTTTGTAAAAAATGTATTCCCTATTGAAATACCTAATCTGTGCCGCAGCTATTTTGTAGCGATTCATGATACGCATACGCTTTGTATTCAGTCCTTTCAAATAGGATATTTAAAGGGACCAAATGCATCCTTGTTTTATTTAGTTTCTTCATCTAACTGATGTGTTAATCTGTGACTATATTATTAAAATACAATAATTGTTCAATATTACGTAAAAAAATAATCTAGCATACAGAGTTGGCTTGGCTCATCAGAGTTGGCTTGGAAAGAAATATCACTGTTATTTTATATTACAGTTGAGGGTTGGAACCTTTGGTGTTACACAGCAAAATAACACTAAATCACCACAATACACCAAAACACTTTTACTTTTACACTGGACGCGCGTTTCGCTAACCATGTTAGCATCATCAGCAGATAAACTCAGCAGATATAACAGTTTATAATCATCTGCTGATGATGCTAACATGGTTAGTAAACCGCGCGTCCAGTGTAAAAGTAAAAGTGTTTTGGTGTATTGTGGTCATTTTTATTTTGCTGTTATTTTATATATAAAATTAGGGACCTTGGCCCAAATTTCCAAGTTGGCTTTTGACCAAGTTCACGCCCTTTTTTCAATAATATATGGTATTGTAATATTTGGTTCTTAAAAAAAATAATAAATAATTAAAATAAACGCTCCATAACAAAACATTGATTCACATGTTCATTTTTTTATAAAATCCTCCTAAAAGTAATTGATCTATTTCATTTTTAGCAACACAATACACATTATTTAGGCACATACTGAACAATACATTGAATCATAAAATCATTCTTTAATCGCAAAATTAAAAAAAAACTTACACTTCAATTAAGTGTGTTTAAAAAGTTGGCACCAAGAAATCAAAGCAAGTTAATAAAAAAATTAATTGCCTTAATTTTACAATGAATCGTTTTATTAAATTTTAAACGATGGACTCTTTTTGGTTTTTCAAAGACATTTAAAAATAATTACATTTATTAAGGCATTATTTATTACTTTGCAGTTAGATTTAACTGTCAGTTATTGAGCTATCAAAAATGGTTGCTCAGTAATTTAGGTGTGTTATATATATATTAATGAAAATTCTTCCTAATATCAAGTTACTAAATAATAATATAGTAGATTATAACTTTGAAAATATTACATAGTTATCATCAAACAAAGTTGAGTAAGGCAGTAATACCTGTCACAAATAACATTACACTGCATGATTGCTCCACGTGACAGTATATAGACTCGGTTATCCAAAAATTGGTGGCAAACTCAAACCATAAGTAGATCAAATAATGAAGGAGACACCCTAACACACGTTTTGTAAAAAAAAACACGTAAAAAAGAGACAAAAGTGGGCTTGTACCATTGCTGATACGTTTCTGTTATGCGGTGTTGCCGGATTTTTTTACTAAAAAAAGTAAAATGACCCAAAAATACATTTTGTAAGTATTGGGCAGAGGTGGGCAAAGATTGAATGAGTCGTTCATTTGAAAGAGTATTAAAAATGAATACAGTTCGTTCGATGAGCCGTAAAAAAGAGTCGTAAGAATTGAATCGGATCACAATGCGACTAGAGGCCGGGACGCATATTCGGAATTCGCCGACACATTAGACAGACTTAAATAGAAATTATATTTAATACTAAAATTAAACTATACGGTGTATTCCATTTAAAATGAGCAATGTATGATTTTCAAAAATTCGGTTCAGGCAATTTTCAATTTGTCATTTTTAGTATAAAATTCTAACTAAAATTTTGTTAGCTTAAAAAAATACTTTCTGTTAGATAAATATTAATGGCGAAGTCATGGTGGATTTTACTCTGTATATTATAGAAATACTAAACAACTTGAGTCAAAGAAAAACATATTATCAAAAAAAACATATGAATAGAAAAAAATTAAGACGTGTTTTTTTTTGGATTTATTATCTCCCAATCCCATATTTTTTAATTTTGTGTCTGAAAGAAATTGTTTGATATAGTTACTAATAATTTTACTGGACTGTCTATATTTCGGGAAGTTCTTTTGCGGCTTGGTTCCCTATTTTTCTTTTGTTTGTCATCAAAATAGTAGTGATAAAATATCTTAAATGCTTATTAGACGTAGTCTCAGAGCCAATCTTAAAATATTTTTGAAACTCTTTCAAAAATATTTCTCTTCCAACATTTAACAAGGCAGTTTTCCATTCTATAATAAAATAATAATGAACTCAAATTTACTCGCTAATCAGTTTTAAGCTTCCATGTCGATAATACATTGATTGGAGCCTTAATAAAGGGTAAGTTAAGTTTTATGACTTATCGCAAGAACCGTATGATAAAAAAAAACAGCGTCTAGTTGGTTTGGAAATGACGATCAATGAATGACATTCCCTATATAATTTTACATACAAAATGACAGCTATCTTTATTTCCAAGGCAGCTCTGACGCCATTTTTTTCGATCGTATGGTATATCTAGCATTCAAATGAAGGCGTACAAGACTTTTGCGCAGTATAAACAAAAGCATATTATCTGTGCTATTACTATTTATTTTGTATTAACGATACATTAATAACATTACTGTTATTATTTAATTTCTTTGCAAAAAGCAACATATAGGGAAATTGGAACAATTTCCGTTGCACGTCATCAATGACACCATGCGTCGTCTTATGGAGTTTGCTGGTGGTCGTACTATGATGTGCAACGGAAGTTGGAAGATTTTAATTTCCCTATATCTAAAATTTGTTATTATCAGTAATCTGCAATCTAAGTTTATTGGAGGCTATTTCTTTATCAGGTACAGCTGGTAATGTCCTAAAATCCATGTTTTTGAATTAGCAATCTGCTCGAAATGTGCTAATCACTGGAAAACAATGAAAACTACCTACAGACGATTACTTATTGATCATAAAAAATTGCTAATACCCATTACAGACGCAGATCAAATTAATCCGATTTACAAATTTGCGAAGAAAGAAACAATATTTTGAGCGCATCGTAAATCGCCGACGTATTAGTCTAATACGTCGGTACTTTACGCAGCACCCGAACTTTCCCGAGCGGCTAATGTGTCGGCGAATTCCGAATATGCGGCCGGGACACACCTATCATGCACGTTTCCGATCCGGCTCCGGTCCGATTTTGAACCAGAAGCGGATCGCTGTGGGATCGGAAATGGTAAGTACACACATGTCATACATGCTTTCGACTCCTTCTCGATTTCAGGCTTCGGCTGAATACAATCGCCAGTCTTGATTCAACAATCATCGCATGAAGTCGTGTGCGCAAAATGTTTAATAAGTGTAGTAACAGTGATTTAGCCATGGTGGCACTTTGTTTGGAAGAAGATGAGGAAAATCAGAAAGCTTTTATAGAGAACAGTCAAAAACGCAGATTTCATGTCTTTGTAGTCGGAGTTTCGGTACTGCTTTTTGGTCTGGTCATACAGCACTGGATATTTCCTCACTTTTTCAATTAGTTCCTCCTGTTTTATTGATGACATTTTTTATTATTTTAGTAAAAAACTAAAAATAATACAGCAAAAATAAAAATAAACAAAATAGTTCAAAACGACACTCGTCCCACAGCCGGCATCGACGAATAGACTGACAATCGGAACACGAACGGATGCAGGAACGGAGTCGAGTAGGAGCGGGGATGAATCACGTATCGGAAAAGTGTAAACTACGGAAAGGTTAAAATAGCGTACGATTTCCCTCTATGAATGAATGAGGATCGGAGCCGGATCGGAAACGTGCATGATAGGTGGGTCCCGGCCTTAGTTCGTTTTGATAGGCATAGAGAAAGTCGGGCACCAACATTTAGACTTGAACGATAGCCCTAAACAAACATCATGGGCATAAAATACAAACAACAAGAAAGTTATTTACAGGAAAAAAACTTATTTATACTGTGCTTAGTACGGGAGTATCTGTATAATACATTTAATTTTAACGTTAATATTTTTGTTAAAATAATATTTGCTGACTATAAATCATTAAATGTCGGACTAAAAAACAAAATCGTGTTTTTATGCAACTTCAAATAAATATTGCCTCTGTTCAATATAATAAAAAAAGGCGTCGGGGATTGTTATGGAATGAAAATCGCTGTCATTAACTGGACGCAATTTTTTTTTTCGATCATGCGGTATTGTACACTATTTACTATATGATTATTAAATCAGAATTCAAATATGCTCTAAAATTATTAAATTGTTATTAAGAAGTCTTTAATAAATAGTATATATGAATTGTATATATGATTATTTAATATTATTGGTAAAAAATCAATCCAATTACGCCAGTGCCGTTAATGTTGAAAAACAAATGAAAGAAAAAAAAAACAAAAAAAAAACAAAAAAACACAAAAAAATGTCAAACGGACATAAGCGATTCACAAATGGGGTTCAGGCAAGGGTTAGGTACAAGGGAAGCGATAGTTGCAACACAGGTGCTTGTCCAGAACTGCTACGATCAGAGAATGAATGTGTGCCTGTATTTCATAGACTACGAAAAGGCATTCGATCGCGTGCAACACCACAAATTAATGCAGCTACTCAAAAAGCTTGATATAGACCAAAAAGACATACAATGCATCGAAAACTTGTATTGGAACCAAACAGCACAAATAAAATTGGTCAATACCATGTCCAATCCCATACAAGTTAGAAGGGGGGTGCGACAGGGTTGCGTCACCTCCTATTCAATTTGTACTCAGAGGCTATTTTCCATGAAGCTCTAGAGGACGTGGAAATGGGAGTCAAAGTTAACGGAGTGTGGATTAATAACATCCGCTACGTCGACGATACGGTCTTGATTGCAGATAATATACACGATCTACAACAACTGGTCAACAAGGTAGGAGAACAGAGTAAAGCAATGGGTTTAAACATAAACATCAAGAAAACTAAATTTATGATAATATCCAGAAATCCAGATGTGATTGGACATTGAAAGCAGCTGCCATTAATAAACTAGAGGTTTTGAAATGTGGCTATATTGCAGAATTCTGAAGATACGGTTAACAAATGTGTCAACAAACAGCGCGTCAACAAACAGCGCGAATTGTTTGAATTGATTAAGAAAAAAAATTCGCATACCTGGGGCACATAATGCGAAAAACCCAAATATCAATTCTTGCATCTGTTAATCGAAGGCAAGATCGAAGACCGGAGGGGTATCGGAAGGAAGAAAATGTCTTGGCTGAGGAATGTTAGACAGTGGACAGGCCTACACGATGTACAGTTGTTAATAAACACCGCCAGGAATAGAGAAGCCATGGAAAATGTTATCGCAAACATCCATTAGTGGATTCGCACTAGAAGAACAGGTATTGAAAAACTTTTGAAATATTGACAATTCCAAACCTAACCCAACTAAAGCTAATTATTTATAAACGCAAATGCAAAAATATTGAGCTTCAGCTGCTTGCGAGCTCCCAAATGAATTGAACATCAACTGGCCTTCAAGGCTCCCGAGTTTATAAATCCATGACAGTTTCATGACATAAGTATACACAACTTTGTTTGGTGATTTGGTAGATTTTAAGAGTATTTCAAAATTAACATTTTTTGAAGAAAGCATTTGTAATAATTAGTTAGCAACAAATTTGTTTTTTTTTAATTATAGAAGAAATAAGTGTTAAAAATTGACATAAGATCGGATTAACCATCTTAAAACAAATTCATATTTACAAATTCTAACACATAAGATTACTTACTATTGTCTATGGCAAAGGTACAAAAATATACCTTATATTTGCATAATAAATCTCATAAACATGTCCAGTCAAAAGTTAACTTTATACACATTGTATATTACCTGATTTAGGCGACTTAATTTTAGTTCAAACGACTTCTATCGAACAAGACATAACAATAAAAAAAGCTTTTTCTCGAACGTTGCTTTCCAAAAGAATCCAAATTAAATGAACAGTCCTGCTCGCTTTGTACATAATGCCTAAAACATTATGTTTACTGCTGTCTGTAGTAAACTAGGTAAACTGATGTTTAAACTCTATTCCACCTTTGGCTAAATCACATTCCTTATTGCAGATTTGTAGTAAATGCACTAATGCCATTATTGGCCATTTCATCCATTATTTCAGTTACGTAGGTAGCGACATCTACTTTTTCGTCTTGAGCTCGTAGAATAAATGGATCTTGGAGCAATTTGTTATATTTGGGACGTTGGTTTTCTTGCTTTATTAAACTGAAAGAAAATGTATACTTAGTTAAAATTCTCCACCTAGGGACAGGAGACTCAAACTCACAGTCTTGCATAAAAAAATATTTTAAGTTTATACTATTTAAATAAGAGAGGCAATAGTAAAAAAAATAAAATAAAAAAAGTCGCTGAACGTTTAAAAATGTATATCACAGATACAGTCCGCATCATATGGACCTTTTTTTATTTATTGTTATTAGTATATTAAATTTTGCCTGTTGTCGCTGGGTAGGGTTTCCATAAAGGCTTTTGGAAATTCCGGACAAATAAACTCTGAAATTGAAACTATAAATTTATTTATGAACTTTTATAGGACGCAAATAATAGCACCGGAAGCAAAAAAATATAAAACAAAAAAAGCATTCACTTTCCAGGACTGCTCCAAAAGCGAAAAATTTGAGCGCCAAAGTATAAAAGGTCCGGCAATAGTGCGTCGGGCATCTGTAGCTCCTAGAATAAAAAACTTAGGAATTTTGTTTAAGTGCAAACCTAAAGTATGTACCAGGATGTATTTCAGGAAAATATTTTAACTTCTATAAGGTGGTACAAAAAAGTGTGAGTGGATCTGGATGATTTTTTTAACTGAAACACCCTGTATATTATTGCATTTTTGGCTTTCTTTCAGATCACTTTACATAATCCTAAAGTAAAAGTCCTTGTAAAAGAAGTATACGGCCCAACCAAGAAATTAGAAACCGGTGGAAAGAGCATTACAGCCATATCCTTAACCAGGAAAACAACCCCAATATAGAAGCACTGAACACAATACCTCAGTATAACAGCCTCGATGTATTAGATACCCCAATAACAGAACAGGAAATAATGACATCCATAAAACAGCTTAAAAACAACAAATCAGCTGGCTGTAACGCGATCCCGGCGGAGATCTATAAGTGTGCAAGTGAAGAACTTATTGGTCACCTTAAGGCTCTCTTCGATGTCATATGGGAAAGCGGAGAGGTACCTCAGGACTTTTGCAATGCGAATATAGTGAATATATTTAAGAACAAAGGAAGTGCATCAGACTGCGAAAATTACCGGGGAATTTCACTGTTGGCTATCGGAAGAAAAATTCTTGCAAAAATTATGTCAAACCGCCTGCACCCACATATAGAAAAAATCCTTCCAGAATCGCAAATGGGTTTTCGCACCAACCGTGGTACCGTCGATTCCATATTTTCCATCCGCCAACTACAGGAAAAAGTAAAAGAGCAGCAGTCTAAACTTTATGTTGCATTCATCGATCTAACAAAAGCCTTCGACTCTGTGAACAGAGATGCACTTTGGGCAATTATGAAAAAGTTCGGAGTACCCAACAAATTTCTTACAGTGTGTAAAAGCCTCCATAACAACAACCAGTCAAGAGTGTCACATCATGGATCACTGAGCGATCCCTTCCTAACAAATACAGGAGTTAGGCAGAGATTTGTCTTAGCGCCTCTCCTATTCAACATATTCATGGCAGCGCTTTATATAATACTATAATGGAGATAGTAGACAGCAAACTGCAGGAGAGAGGACTGGGCATTATATACAGATATGACGGCGGTCTGTTCAACATAAAAAGACTCAGGGCAAAAACATGTACAAAATTCATCACAGAACTTCAATACGCTGATGACTGCGCTCTAGTTGCAAACACGTTACAACAATTACAAGAAATGTTGAACACATATACCTGGGCATACGAGGCTTTCGGCCTAAAGCTAAACATTGACAAAACCAAAATCATGTGCACTCCCCCGGAAGATCATAACAATGCTATAAAAATCGAAGAACTATTGGAATATGTGGCGGCATTTAATTACCTCGGCAGTTTGATTTCGGAAAAGGCGAATATCGACTCTGAAATTCAGCACAGGATTAGCAGCGCCTCAAGAGCATTCTGGAAATTAAAAGACAGGGTTTTGTACAATCATGACTTCAGTACAAAAACGAAACTTGCAGTGTACCGAGCAATTATAATCCCCACCATGTTATATGGGAGCAAAACCTGGATGCCGTACCGCCGACACATGAACGCATTAAACAAGTTGCAACAGAGACACCTTAGACAACTCTTAAGAATCCGGTGGTTCCATCATGTCTCAAACGTATCGGTCCTTGAAAAAGCTAATTGCGAGAGTATTGAAGTCATGGTTACAAAATCCCGCTTAAGATGGGCTGGTCACATAATGCAGAATGCAAGAAAACCGCATACCAAAATCTCTGCTTTACGGTGAGCTTGTAAATGGAAAGAGGAGGCCGGGTGGACAACTCTAGAGGTACAAGGACATTTTCCACGAAAACTTAAAGGGAATTAACATGCAGAATCATTGGGATGAAGCAGTTCACAATAGAACTCAATGAAGAAGAATTGTAAACTCAGTTAACAGTGACAACCAAAAAATAAAGAGGCAACAAAGCAATGAGATTTTTGAATGTTCGGAGTGCGGTAGGCAAATAACATCACATATCGGGCTGTTCAGTCACAGAAAAGCTCATGAAAGAAAACGCCTTGCGTGACCATCTTTTGATGCGTGTCGAATACTCGTCAGCGAGTAATGGCAGTATGTATATATGTATGTACATACATAATCCTAAGATATGAGTTAATATATTTCGATAGTTTCAGAGATATTAAAAAATAAATAAAAATATATATTTTTCAACCCTTCTCTGAAATCAAAATTATATTAGGTATTTACTTTAGATGGTCTGTTTTCAACCCTTCTCTTAAATCAAAATTATATTAGGTATTTACTTCAGATGGTCTGTTCTTACTTTACTATGAATATGGTAATCGTAAATCATACAGGATGTTCAATATTCTACGCCAAACTTTCTAAAATATAAAATATTTTTTTTTTGTTTTTTTTTAATGCAACACCCTAACTAAATACCCTGTATATTATATTTGTATTAGAGGGACAGTTACAAAATTAACATTTTTTATATTGTTGCGAGCCGGTGTGGACTCGACCTAACCTCACAATATGGCCCGCCCTCGGATGACCTTAACATCGCATAGACACCGCAATGATTCATTCGTTCGAGAAGAATCGAGACCCACTAGAATGGACTAGTACATACGAGAACATTCGAAAACCTTCTCTATGCGCCTAACGATCTATGGACTATTCTAGATTTCTTTTGCTGTAGGTATAAAAGCCGGCGGCAGTGGCCTAGAGAGGGCAGTTATAAATATACCAGTGCAGTTGACGCGCAAAAATTCAAAATAAATTCTTAGTTATAAATCGTTTGTAAATAGTTCTATAAGTCTTTTATCGTTATTATTTTTGTTAATTAGTGTTAAATAAATAGTGTTTAAATAAATTGTGACTTTGTATCCACACGGAACCGACGAAAAACGTAACAATATATTTAAAGTATTCCAAAATTTTTAATAGTAGAACATCTTATATGATTTACGATTTCAATATTTATAGCAAAGTAAGTACAGACCATCTCAAGTAAATACCTAATATACATAGTTTTGATTTCAGAACAGTTCTTGTATTATTAATAATTTTTCCAAGAAAGGCTGAAATATATATTTTTTTATTTATTTATTAATATTTTATTATTAATACTAATAATATACAACAAAGTGTTCCATTTAAAAAAACTATCCACTAACACTCTTTTGAGCCATCATATAGAAGTTAAAATATTTTCCTGAAATACATCCTAGTACAAACTTTAGATTTTTTTTTATTCCAGGAGCTACAGATGCCCGACGCCACTATTGCCGAACCCTGTATAAATGTGCCAATTTTCAGCCATCTAGATGAAACTATTTTTTTCGTCATTTTTAACCAATAGCAGCCGATTCTCGTGATAGAAGCAAAAATAACTGATAGGAACCCGGTTGTCATTCGAATATTTATCTAATACTCATATATTAGTTGAGTCAATGGGGATTTTTGCTTGGAAAAAAGTCCGGAAGTTTTGCAACTTTGCAGGTTTATAGGTTTTGGGGTCCCTAACTAAAATCCATAAAATGCACATTTCCAGACTTGCCGCCGGCGCCGCCATCTTGCCAAGATGGCGTCCAAAATCGGTATTTTGTGAATATCTCGAAAACTATGCGTTTTTCGCGAAAATTTGAGGAGAGCAAAATTAAAGAGAATAAAATTTCCTATAAAAAGGGTTTTATGAAAATGTTTGCTAAAGTCAACCGTTTGGGCACAAAATCCCTGGAAATTTTACAATTTTGCGTAAAATATGATATATTATGTATAGTCGATTTTCCGAAATCAAATGTCGATTAGGGTTCATTAAAACTAGTTTTAGTTTAACTTCTTCAATTTTGTCATAAAACAGTGGCGTATCATTAATTCGCTCATTAATTTATGAATAATTAATTTTAATAATTGAAAATGTGTACTTGTTTCCACACCACCCAAGAGGTAAAGTATGCGGCGCGTTTATTTTAACGTGGTCTCCCCGTTAACCTACTCCACTAGATAAATAAAAAACTTTAACTTATCTGCACAAGCCCGACGGATCTGGCTCATTGATGTTAAAGTCGATCGTGTCTGTTGTGCTGGGCTCATCAGGGTGGTCTCTCAATTCGTCCAACTCTTCATCTTCAGCGGCCAGAGGGATATCTACAGGCAAGTCCAACTCCTCTTCATCGGATTCGTCGAGTGACACTTCAGTGACGTTGTCACAGGATTTCCCATTGCACAAATCATTGAACATTTTAATCCTGCTTTTCTGCATCCGCAGGCTTTACCATAGTTGTTGGTTTTGCATTTACAGGATAAAAATGCCAATAGGGATTTTAGAGCTGGATCTTTCAACATTGTGACTGGAGTAATGCCTGTTTTTGTTTTCTTCCAACCCCATTCTTCGGTATCTTTGGTACAACCAGACCAATGCTGAACCTGGTGGTAAGTTCGCAATGAATGCTGTCGAGCACGACAATTAATTATTCATAAATTAATGAGCGAATTAATGATACGTCACTGTTTCATGACAAAATTGAAGAAACTAAACTAAAACTAGTTTTAGTGAACCCTAATCGACATTTGATTTCGGAAAATCGACTATACATAATATATCATATTTTACGCAAAATTGTAAAATTTCCAGGGATTTTGTGCCTAAACGGTTGACTTTAGAGAAAATTTTCGTATAACCTTTTTTATAGGAAATTTTATTCTCTTTAATTTTTCTCTCCTCAAATTTTCGCGAAAAACGCATAGTTTTCGAGATATTCACAAAATACCTATTTTGGGCGCCATATTGGAAAGATGGCGGCGCCGGCGGCAAATCTGGAAATGTGCATTTTATGGATTTTAGTTAGGGACCCCAAAACCTATAAACCTGCAAAGTTTCAAAACTTCCGGACTTTTTTCCAAGCAGGCCTCTTTTTTTGGTCCCCAATGACTGAACTATATTAAATGTTTTTGAATGAATTAATTCATTCAGTTTTTTTATTTAAAGTTAAATTTTGTTGTAAAAATATTGGCTCGCAAACTATAAATAATTCTTTCATATATCGACGTGATACATGAAATAATTATTTTTATCTTATAGATCTTTAATCCAATTTTAGTTAAACATTTTTTTATAATAGTTTTATTTGATTACCATTTTTATTTGATCAGACAGACCATATAGGAGCAATATCTAACTAAACAATTCTATAAGTAGGTTATGAAAAATACAACTAAATTATTTTTTTCTTAAAAAATATCAACATATTCAATAAATTTAGGTTAAAATATGTATAGGTAAATATTTGACTAACAAACGAACTACCATCAGATATTTTTGCTTCTACCAGGAGAATCGACTGCGCACTATTGCCGGACTCTTCATAACATTAAAAGAGAAATAACCTTTTCAAATAAGGTTTATCGAAATTTGACCAGGAAACCCGTTTTTAGCCATTTATTACTTTAAATGTAAAATTTGGCAGATGCCCGAGGACTACAGAGTAAATTTTCTTATGGTATTTTTAGTCTAAATCAAAGCAGAAACTATCGCCGGGATCAAATTTCACTCAGCTCTATAAATAAAAAAAAGTTACATATATGATGCGGACTATCATGAAAATTAATTGAATAAATGAATTAAATATGCGAGGTAATACTTCAAAAGTCTTTATATTATTATGTTGATCTTAAAACAAAATACCTTACCAAGTATTGACAAAGTTAACAAACTCTGCTGTAAATGTGTTGGCATTGTGATTGACTGTTAAACGTGGTGGATCGCCATTGACCACTTCGTGCAACTGGTCAAAAACACTCGACCAACGTTTATACGGAAAATGACCAGTGGCTACTTCCATAAGAGTGATACCTAACGACCATACGTCGCTCCTAACATCGTAGCCCTTTGCTGTTTGGGGATCGATCCTCTCAGGCTAAAAATATTTTGATCAATAAACTTAATTAACTAAATACTATCAAGTGCTAAGTACGGAGCGATCAAAAATGATTGAAATAGTACCCAAGTATACTCTGTTTTTTTTCTCAGGTAAGATTTCGACAGACGATGATAGAAGAAAAGCAGATGACGTCCCATACCAATCTATTTATTTTACTAAAAAAAGTTTCTAATAATTTTTAAGTTATCTATGGATGGGTTTAAATATAAATCCGTCATGCGTCGTGTCTTGTTGTTTTTAACCAGTTTTATTGGTTTATTTAAAAAATGACAGATTGTATTTCAATTTTATTGGTTTGACGGAACGCTGAACGATAAACGGACGCCGGTGCGTATGAACTCACCTTTAGATTTTTGTCATTTTTGACGCTTGTCAAAGTCTTGCCAAATTATAGGTTATAATTTTGTGTCAACTTTTGTTAAATACCCTGCGTTTTGGAAGATGATGCATTTTGATTCGTATTATTACGTGTGTTTTGTGTCTTTTGAAGTCAAGTGGAGGAAAAATCGAGTGAAAATTAACTGTAGACCCAGAGAACAGTTTATGGTTAATACTCGCTGCCCAGGCAGAAAGTCTTATACACCCCATCGTTAAAGTTTGTATACCATCTCGTCGTAGATAAGTGCATCTCGTATATGGTAGAAGGATCAAACTAAACACATACTAAAAGCTGGAGTAGCTGTAAAATATCGACATCACACGATAGGTAAATAATGGATTTTAGTACTGCAGAAAAATAATGTCAAGAGGTACTGGTTTAAAAAAATTAAGATTAAAGTTAATTAATCAACATTTAAGGTATAAAATTTGGTAGGTGTTATTATTATTAAAATAGTTTGTTTTATTTACCTATGTTGTTTTATTTATTCCTGTGGAATATTACAAATTTGTATTTGTACATAAGTTATATTGATAAATATAATCATAAATGCGGGTAGTTTCATAAAGCTTGAAAGTAAAAAATAGTTCTTTTTTATATTTTTTTGGTATGTAGTGTTTTTTTCTTGTTTGTTTTGTATTAACACATACCGGTTTTATTAAATAAAAGAACTCGATTACATTTTTTCAGTTTTATACGGTTTTTTTCACAATATTTTGAAGTAATCACTTGTCATCTTGTCAATCAAATTTTAAATATTTCCTGCTATGCGTTCCAGTTGTACCAACTTATTTCTTTGTAAAATAAAATAAACTACTTTGAAATTAAAATGACAGACACATCTATCGCTGTCAAGGATCTTCTCGTTGGACAGACTATAGCATTTATAGACACAAAGTCGAAACATAATCATTGCTGAGAAACATTGCAAAATAGTTTCGTCGCATTTTTGATACATATGTTTCGTTAACATAAATCGCTTTTTGTTGCGAAACATTTTACCAAGATATGGTTTTGCTACATAAGCTATAATTTTTCGAAACTTTTAAGAAACAGATGTGGCTCACATTTACAAATTTCGTACCCGTTTTGTGCCTGAAAAGTTTCCATAATTTATTTGATATTCTGCATATACATATAACTACCTATATTCAGCCTAATCTCTAAAAAGTGAAGCCCAAACAGTGAAAGAGAAATATGGAATTCTGCATAAGTCTATTTCACCCGGATATTCATTTAACAGCGCATGCCTTAACTGAAGAAGTTTTCATTGGTCGGTGTTTTTAAAGGGAAGTGGTTGATCGACATTTCACCTAACTTTCAATTTTATTTATATTTTTATTATTTATAACACATAAGGTGCCCGGTGGCGTAGAGGTACAGGCTCTCGTCTACCAATCTGAAGGTAGCGGGTTCGAATCCCACACCCGGCATTGCATCAGCCGACTATTTTTATTAAAATAAAAAATAGTTTGGGTACCTAGGTCGACCCAGCCTTAAATGAGTATTTGGGATTCACAATCCTGAGGTAATTATAGGCGGTTGAAGCGTAGTTCTAGCCACATTACCTTCCTAGTATACCGAACGGCTCTAGTATGGCAAGCTGTACCTTGCTACTCCCAAGGCGTTAAACGCTATATACGGGAGCTATTATTATTATTTATATTATGACATATTATCATGGAGTTGGAAAAATGTCAAAAATAGTTGGAAACAATAAACTAAACAAAATCACTCTTTTACGCGCACAAATAAAAAGTAATCTAAACCGAATTAAAACAACAATCAATCGGAGTTTGGCGCAATCGCAGTTCAATCCGTATCCGGGTGAAATAGACTTATGCAGCATTAATATGGAGCTGAGTTATGTTGTCTTTTTCTTACGGCACGGAAACAGCACACGGGGTTAAATAGGGAACACTGAGTATATTTTAAGTTATATAATGGAAAATAAATTTCTTGCCGTTTTTAGGTATATAATAAAATTATATAAGAGTTTCTTGCCTTGAACTGCTAATATAGAAATTAATTCCACGCTGTGTTCGTCATAATGTGGATCAACCTGCTCTCACTACCGGTTTCTACCGGTATTGTAAGTTATATGTATGTGATATTCTGTCAAATATGAGGACATAACCTTACTTTATTGTTTGGATTTTGTTCTACAGTTTTTGCGTTTAAGCATTCTTCAAGTTTTTATAGTACTATAATTAAAAAAGCAGAAGGAAGGATATATGGTGAGTAAAAATACAGATATTTTTCTTATGCGATTTTATAATTATTTATTATACGCATTACAGAGATGATTTGTTTTAGGAATAAATGTATTAACAGCCACTACTCATACAAAACAGGAGACCGAAGAAAAATATTACGAGCAAATGTTTTTTTTCTCTTTTTTTTCACAATGGTATACATGGTTTTATGTTTTGAATTGTGTTATAATAAGTAAATATATAAATGTTTTAATCATTGGCGTAACTACAAGGGTGCCAGGGGGTGCCCCCCCCCAGATTCTGCTGGGAACCCCCCAGAGAAATCCTGAATTATGACTCTTGGCTACGTAATTATTAATTTTTATTTGCTTGTGATGTAGTAAAAATGACGTTTTCTAATTTTGTTTAGTTAATATTATTTTTACCTTAATATTTTTTTACCTTAATAATTTTACCTTAGTAATATTATTTTGTTGTTCAAAAAATGTGTTAATTTTTATTTTTTTTTTAATTTATAGGTATTTAAATAATCAACGGGAACACGGTTTGATAACCAAGTCTATTCAATTTATTGATAGAGAAATTCATGTAAACGTTTTATTCAAAAAATGTGTTTTTTTAAATTATTTTTCATTTTTAAAAAAACAAAAACCCTAGGCCCTCCCTGGGCTCAACTCCAGGCCCCTCCAGGCACACCCCAGGATAAATTGCTAGTTACGCCAATGGTTTTAATTATTTTGACCAGAAGTTTTGATTGGCGTTGTTGACAGATGAGTAGTTCAAAATTTCTAAACAGATAGCGCTAAATCGAAACATTTTAGAAAGAAGGTTTCCATTTATTGTCGATTCATTTTCGAAACACGAGTTTCTCTCTTTTTAGACACACATATGATGTAATGTAGATGATTTGTCACAACTTTGTCGTAAAACATGAATGTTTCTGTCTTGTCACTGTTTTGTCTGCTTGGTCTGGACCCGGCATAAGATTATCTTTTCAACAATATGTTACAAATTAGCTTTGAATAAGAAGACTAAGGAAGGAGCATAATGCTATCCATGTATTCATGCATGGTGGGCGGAAAAAGGACTCTAGGGTGGGGATCCTTGACAGTTTTGTTTCACGATTCATTTGACACATTTGAATTTGATTTGAAATTTTGTGGATTTGTCAGTCTTTACGGAGCTTATTTTATGTTATTTATTATTTATTCTACTACTGATAGTTGTATAAAGGTAGTAAATCTAGATGGAAATTGTGGCAGAACTTAAATTAACAGTGATACTATTGCGATTTTCGAAAAAGACTCTAAAATAGTTGGTTGTGTAGCGTGCGGTAGATCTCGGCAAAAATCGAGTGAAATAATGGAACAACTTTCGCTAGTAAGTGACTATATAATATACATACGTGTAGTAAACCGATCATTTATGAAATTCACTTATATTAACTAATTATATATTTTTTCTTGCATTTTTGCTTTTATTTACTACTTGTCAAAGATTAGATGTCAAAGAATTTAGATACGTCAATTTGATTTACCTGCTTCAGTAGCGTATCGGATGTTTGTGTTAATAAAAAATTATTATAATTTACCTATTTTTATTAGAATTATATATTTTTGTAACAATTTTAATAACTACCAACATTTATTCACCACGTAAAAACAACATATTATTGAGTCTACCCCACGCCTACCCTACATCATAGTTTTACATTTTTTAAATAAAATTAGAACGGCACTGATAAACCGGAATTTAAGTCGGCCATATTTGAGGCCCATCGCGGTGGACCTAAGATTTTTGATATGCTCCTTCCTTAGTCTTCTTATTCAAAGCAAATTAGTATTATTTTAACCGCGTAGAGAGTGAAACTTCATTAAGCACGATGGGAGTAAAATTTAGCAAATTTACTTCGTTTAATTTAATAATTACTAAAATCAGCAGTTCCAAAAATATATTTAAAAATAAAAGATGAAAATCCAAAATATTCATTATCTATTAACATGGATTTGGACGATAATAGATAAGAACATTAAATTGATTTCTATATTCGATATAAAATTGTTTATTAGGTTTTTAGTTTGCGATGTTTGTGCTAAATAATATTTTCATGTTCATCGTCTTTGATGAATGGACATGAGGATCCAAGTAACTAATCTGAAAATAAGCCAATACCGGGTGCGTCTCAAAAGTGGCTCACCCCTATAACTTTTTTATTTATTCAGATCAAAAAACGAGATTTGGTATGTTAGTATATGACATAAATTAGGACTGATTGACGTATCCAATTGTTTTCGGTCACTTCCTGTTTCACCGGAAATGACTACAACTTTTGATTTTTATATAGCACCCTCGGTATTTTTTTACTCTATTTGATAGAAAATGTCACTCTGAATCGAATGACATATCATATGTCAACTTTTGACATATTCGCTCAAAAACAAATTGCAATTTAAATTTCAATCTAGAGTGCCATGGCTGTGTTAAAAACACCAATTTTTAATCAAGGAGCCTTGGAAAAATAGATTTGATCGTCTGATGTTTTTAGTGTCTTGTCCTGGTCGGCTCAAAGATGCCCAAATCGTATTTTTAATCATATCTCAATTTTTTCAAATGGAACGAGGGTGGCTCGTTAGCATATTTGGAAAAAGTATTTTTTTACGAATGATTTGGTACCACACACTTGGTATTTGGAGTCAAATTTTCGTTATAAACCGCATATTATAATTTCAAATAAACCATATGCGAAAATGTCAAAAGTTGACATATATGATATGTCATTCTATTCAGAGTGTCATTTTCTATCGAATAAAGTAAAAAAATACCGAGAGTGCCTTTTAAAAATCAAAAGTTGTAGTCATTTCCGAAAAAAACCGGAAGTGACCGAAAACAATAGAATATGTCAATCAATCCTAATTTATGTCATATACTAACATACCAAATTTCGTTGTTTTATGTGAAAAAATAAAAAAGTTATAGGTGTTGAGACTTTTGAGACGCACCCGGTATAGCGTTTGTCCTTTGTGTGCTAACGAAAAGATATTTTTTCCCATCATAAAAGAGTATTATATCATTTAAAAACTGTTGGGAAGTTGATAATTTGTCATGGAAAATTATGCCAATGGATATTAATTGTAATAAAAGTAGATCTAAGGGTAAAGTTTATTATAATTAATGACCTGTTCTACTTTTTGAAACACAAAGTTATGTAAAATTAGCTTTCTGGGCTATTGTCCTGACCTTACCCTACTTTTTCCATCTATTTTAATTTCAGTGCATTCTCCTGGGCAGGAAAACAAATTTTGAAGATTTTTAGCAAACTAAAAATCACGAAAGAATAACATAATCAAATCATTTAACTCACCGCCATGTATGGCCGACATCCTGCATCTTTTGTTTTTGCTATTGAGTCTACTAATTGACCAGAAATGCCAAAATCACATAATTTTATATTTCCTAAAAATAATATATATTTTTTACTATTCCAACATATTTTCAAAATAATCATGATTTTTATAAATCATTAATTTAAAGAAGAAAAAAATTATAAGTATTTAAATTTTATACACACCATTTTTATCTAACAGGATATTACTTGGTTTCACATCCCTATGAATAATTTTTAATTCTTCCTTTAAATAATTTAACGCTTTAACAGTAGCTAAAGCAATCTTTCCTAAAATTGGCTCTGGTATCCTCTTATTCAGTCGTTCGTAGATGAATTTATAAAATTTATCCAAAGATGTATCCATTAATTCCATACATATCCAACAGTCACCCTAAAAATCTAGATAAGACATTGTTTTATTTAAAAGTCTAATTTTCCTACCTCTTTAAATAGGGCGCCATAAAATTGTACAATATATTTACATTCGTTGCTTTTCATAACAACGTCTAGATCCATAAGCAGTTGCTTCTGTTCTTTTTCGTCTACAGTGGATCTGATCCTCTTTACTGCTATCACAGTTGCTGTTTTTCTATGGACCATTTTATTTACAGTACCAAAACCACCTCTCCCTAAATAGCACAATACTTCAATATATTCAATACTTAAAATTTTATTAATTATACCGTGCTGGCAACTCTTACTTTTGGGTCGGTATTTACATGTGTGGCAGTAAATCGCATAGGGATCTTATTAGTCGGAGTGAGGGAAATGCGATGGTGTGCTGTTGCGGCGTTGCCACATTTCTCTGGTACGTCTTTCCCTATCAAGTAAAGTAAAATCACGATCGCAAACCGCTTATTTTTAAAAGATCTTTTTTCGAATAGATAACTAGATAAAATCATTAGATACGTTTCTGAGCATCTGAAATGGAATTATAAGGATATCGTTAGGGTGTCCATTTCTTTTATTAGGAGAAAACGTCATTAATCGCGATAATTTAAAAACTTTTTAACACATAACACGCGGTCACTCAAGAACCACTTTAGATATTGACATTATTATGAAGTTCAGATTTTTTTACAATAAAGAAAAATTCGATAGGCTTGTTTTTTTTCCATTCAAAAATTTTAAAAAACCCATCCATTTACTTTTAGGCCCATACAAATACGTTTAAATGTTTAATACGACGGCCTCCCCATAAGAGCAGTGAGAGGATTTACTTCCCAGTATTGAAGGACAGAAAATCGAGTCTGAATGGTTTCAGGACATAAGTTCATTCTTGTTTAGTCAAACCTCCTACAACATAAGGATAGACTTATGTAGGAAATGCATTGAAATTCTATAGCCATCCTTCAATATCGGGACAGGAATTTAAGCGGTACCCTCCGTATATTTTATTTAAACGTATTTGGGCCCGTATTTATAGTCGAGTCTCAAAGTGCGATTCCAGTCACGAAATGCAAAAGACCGACAAAAATAACAGGCTTACCAACGGCTTACGTTAAGGCTTACGTTTCCAACCCGTGTACACGCGCCTAGTAAGCCTGTTATTTTTGTCGGTCTTTTCTGAGACCCAGATTCGAGACGCGACTATAAATACGGGCCTTAGTGCATAGAAACTTTCAGCAATCATGTAACTTTTTTATTTATATAGATTTTCACATACTGTCTGCGAAGAAATTATAGCAGAAATATGAAGTTTTTAAAAAAAAACTACATTCAATTGTTTTTAATGGATTTCGAGATATTGATTTTTGAACTTACTCTATTCTGATTTTTGAGGTTCTAATAGCGTGACCACTGTCGAACACCAACTCAAATCCACTTATTTTTATCAAAAGTGGAAGTGTTTCTAATTTGCACTTAAAAATTTACAAAGCATAAAGAAAATTACGACTCGTTAATAAATAAACAAATCATGAGACGCAATTAAATCGTAAAGCTGAACGCATGATGTACACCCTTCTCTAGAATTTTAGTACTGGTACTGATTGGGTCGACCGCGACGAATCTGCTATATCCCCTTCCACGTTTCTTAGCAATGTGCGCAGTTTCTCGGTTTATTTCATGCATTTGAACGTGTTTACTGTTCTCTCTTTGTTCGGTACATTATAAACACATTGTACTCTTCTTACATACGGAAATCTCGACCCAAGACAAACCTTTGCTAGCCCTTAGTATATTAATTCCATACAAGGTGTCCTACTAAAAATTACATTAATATAGGAAAAAGTACTTTAAGAAAAATCTGAAAATATAAGACTGTCTCTGAGAACTATAGGCTTGTCCATCATATTTTATGTGTATGTTTTTAAACGTTTTTCGATACTACATATTATAATAACTGCTCTCTTAAAATTTCAAAACGAAATCTTTTGGCGTTTTAGAGATGAGACCTTAAAGTTTGTAACGAAGGACGAGGCCACACCCACTCGTCACGTGCCGTCAATCAGTTCGCAGCGGCCAAAGTAGTTTGAATTAATGTAATTTAGCGTTTTATCGTTATTAAAGCTAATTTGTTGGTTTATTTTCACAAAAAGGTATTCGATAGGAGAAGGGTTATATAAAGCTGGTTCGCATAAACTCCCAGGACGGTTAATACGATCCCACTCCAATAAGCCCATTCCGGGTACACTAGAACTAAATGTTTAGTTGGCTATTCCAAATACAATACTCTATACATTATTACATTTATAAAGTGTATATATCATTCTAGGTACATGACTAATAAATGGTACTTAAATACAATTTAATTGTGCAATATGTCGAAAAACTCATAAGATGTCAAACGCATTTCTTGTAACAAATTATTATAAGCGCCTTATGTATTCCTGTTTTTATAAACATGGCGAATCCAAGATTTGGTTTTCGTGTAATCTGCGACTTTTTTTTTGCACCTGCAGAAGAAGATATTAAGATAACACCATATATTTGTAAGAAATTAATTTTCCCCAAAATTAATATCGACCAGAATTACTTCACCAGTTTATTTTTTGTGTGTATTCAGTGTGCACCCACAGAGTTCCGCCTATCGCCTCCTCTTGATGACGTCACACGTGAGCCGCCAAGCCTTCTTTACTTTCAAAGTATAAGTAGTACGAAATACCCTTTAGTATTGCATTAAAATCAGTATTAATAATATTGTCCCAAAGTTTCAGACTTCATGGACTTTTAGCTATATAAATGTAAGTTATTTCAACGAGACCCCATATATAATACATACTGTGCTGGCAACTCTTACTTTTGGATCAGTATTTACATGTGTGGAAGTAAATCGCATAGGGATCTTATTAAGTCGGAGTGAGACAAATGCGATGGTGTGCTGTCGCGGCGTTGTCCCGTTTTGCCGGTACACCTATTTTTTACCCTATCAAGTAAAGTAAAATCACGATCGTACACCGCCTATTTTTAAAAGAATTTTTTTCGAAAAGATAACTAGATAAAACCCTTAGATATGTTTCTGAGCATTTGAAATGGAATTATATGGATATCGTTAGGGTGTCCATTTTTTTATAACGAGAAAACGTCAGTCAGTAATCGCGATACTTTAAAAACTCAACTTTTTTGAACGCATAACACGTAATAACTCGAGAAAGATATTGAAACTTTTTTTTTATTTGAAGTACGAATCTTTTACAAGATGTTTAAATAAGAAAAATTCGATAGCCCAGTTTTTTTCCATTCAAAAATTTTAAAAACCCATCCATTTACTTTTAGTGCATAGCAATTTTCAGCAATCATTTAACTTTTTTATTTATAAAGATTTTCACATACTGGCTGCGAAGAAAATATAGCAGAAATATTAAAAAAGTTTTTGAAAAAAAAATACAATCAATTGTTTCTAATGGATTTCAAGATATTGATTTTTGAATTTATTCTATTCTGATTTTTGAAGTTCTAATAGCGCGACCACTGTCGAACACCAACTCAAATCCACTTATTTTTACCAAAAGTAGAAGTGTTTCTAACTTGCACTTAAAAATTTACAAGCTATAAAGAAAATTACGACTCGTTAATAAACAAATCACGAGACGCAATTAAATCGTAAAGCTGAACGCACGATGTACACCCTTCTCTAGAATTTTAGTATTGAGGTACTGATTGGGTCGACCGGTCGACCGCGACGAATCTGCTATAACCCCTTCCAGGTCTCTTAGCAATGTGCACAGTTTCTCGGTTTATTTCATACGTTTCGCAACGTTTTTACTGTTCTCTCTTTGTTTAGTACATTATAAACACATTGTACTCTTCTTACATACGGAAACCTCGACCCAAGACTAACCTTTTCCAGCACTTAGTATATTAATTCTATACAAGGTGTCCTGCTAAAAATTACATTGATATAGGAAAAAGTACTTTAAGAAAAATCTGAAAATATAAGACAGTCTCTGAGAACTATAGGCTTGTCCATATTTTATGTATGGTTTTAAACGTTTTTGGATACTACATATTACAATAACTGCTCTCTTAAAATTTCAAAAAAAAAATCTTTTGGCGTTTTAGAGATGAGGCCTTAGAGTTTGTAACGAAGGACGAGGCCACACCCACTCGTCACGTGCCTCAATCAGTTCGCAGCGGCCAAAGTAGTTTGAATTAATGTGATTTAGCGTTTTATCGTTATTAAAGCTAATTTGTTGGTTTATTTTCACAAAAAGGTATTCGGTAGGAGAAGGGTTATATAAAGCTGGTTCGCATAAACTCCCAGAACGGTTAATACGATACCACTCCAATAAGCCCATTCCGGGTACACTAGAACTAAATGTTTAGTTGGCTATTCCAAATAAAATACTCTATACATTATTCCATTTCTAAATTGTATATATCATTCTAAGTACATGACTAATAAATTGTACTTAAATACAATTGCGCACATTGCAATTGCAATATGACGAAAAATTCAAAATAAGATGTTAAACGCACTTCTTGTAACAAATTATTATAAGCGCCTTATGTATTCCTGTTTTAATAAACATCGCGAATCCAAGATTTGGGTTTCGTGTAATCTGTTTTTTTTTGGAACTGCAGAAGAAGATATTAAGATAACACCATATTTATGTAAAAAATTAATTTTTCCCAAAATTAATAATGACCAGAATTACTTCCCCAGTTTATTTTTTGTGTGTATGCAGTGTGTACCCACAGAGTTCCGCCCATCGATCGCCTCCTCTTGATGACGTCACACGTGAGCCGCCAAGCCTTCTTCACTTTCAGAATATAAGTAGTACGAAAAATGCTCTAGTGTTGCAATAAAATCAGTATTAATATTGCCCCAAAGTTTCAGACTTCATGGACTTTTAACTATATAAATGTAAGTTATTCTAATACATACCGTGCTGACAACTCTTACTTTTGGGTATTTACATGTGTGGAAGTAAATCGCATAGGGATCTTATTAAGTCGGAGTGAGACAAATGCTATGGTGTGCTGTTGCGGCGTTGTCACATTTCGCCGGTACACCTTTCCCTATCAAGTAAAATCACGATCGTAAACTGCTTATTTAAAAAAAATCGAAAAGATAACTAGATAAAACCCCTAGATGTGTTTCTGAGCATCTGAAATGGAATTATAAGGATATCGTTAGGGTGTCCATTTTTTTATAACGAGAAAACGTCAGTAATCGCGATAATTTAAAAACTCAACTTTTTTGAACGCATAACACGTAATAACTCGAGAAAGATATTAAAACTTTTTTTTTTATTTGAAGTACGAATCTTTTACGAGATGTTTATATAAGAAAAATTCGATAGACCAGTTTTTTTCCGTTCAAAAATTTTAAAAAACCCATCCATTTACTTTTAGTGCATAGCAATTTTCAGCAATCATTTAACTTTTTTATTTATAAAGATTTTCACATACTGCCTTCGAAGAAAATATAGCAGAAATATTAAGGAAGTTTTTGAAAAAAAAAATAAAAACAATTGTTTCTAATGGTTTCGAAATATCGATTTTTGAATTCTGATAGCGCTAATTTTGAGTTCTAATAGCGCCCCCACTGTCGAATACCAACTCAATTCCACTTATTTTTACCAAAAGTGCAAGTGTTTCTAACTTGCACTTAAAAGTTTACAAGCTATAGGGAGAATTAAAACGCCTCGTAAGTATCAACAAATAAAGTATCACGAGACGTAATTAAATCGTGAAGCTGAACACATGATGGACACCCTTCCCTAATTTTAAGCACTGATTGTCTTCCACGTCTCTTAGCAATGTGCACAGTTTCTCGGTTTATTTCATACGTTTAGCAACGTTTTTACTGTTCTCTTTTTGTTCAGTACATTATAAACGCCATTGTACTCTTCATACATACGGAAATCTCGACCCAAAACTAACCTTTGCCAGCCCTTAGTATAATAAATATACATGTTGTACCTATTTCGCCCAAATCTTGCAGGTCATCAGACGTAAAATCGTATGTTGTGCCTCCTATTTGTAATTTACCAGAAGAGTTCATTGAATGTGATATTTTCAATTTTGGTTCTCTGTAAAAAAACACTAAATAGTAAATATCTTAGTACATCTAGATGATTAATAAATAAAAAAGATTGTGTTGATGCTGTTTAATAAAATATATATAGTTTTATTAATTAATATTAGTGTTAATGCCAAATATAAGAAATAATGTGGATACCCAGTGACGTACTTTGAGCTTTTTTTTAATTGCAGATAATTAGGTTAGAATTATTTACCTTTAACAATATTTATATGATGAATTAATTAATTATAAGAAGAACTATAGTCTGTCCAACAAGAGAATATAACAATGAGGAAGATGCATATATTTTATTTTTCGCCAGAAACTGTTCAATTTATTAGAATAAATATGTGTAAATGCAAAAAAAAACTTTTTTCTTGAAAGCAGTACCACAATTTTATAAAACGGGCCATTAAAATACTATGGACAACGCAAACGACGCCTCGCGAATTGAAACGATATTCTATTGGTCTGACGTCACCCGCCGTTCTCGTCGACGCGCTATGGCCAGCAGCAGCCAGACGTGTTCCGTTTATGTACGTATTTAGGTGGCGTACTAAGACATTTTTATTGCTTTTAGCGTTGATTGAAGGAGCATTTTATGCTTTTTTGTGCAGTTATTATTTGTATGTGTTGAGTGTTCTAAGAATTTTTTAAGTAATGGCAGATTCCGGGTTTGTAAAAGCACAATCAGATAACTTGCCAAAAGTCGATGCTTTTATGTTGGCTGCTTTTATAAATACAAATTCCCAATTTATCGGTGCTGAATTACGAGGAAAAAAACAGAGAGGTATGTAACATTTATTCTTTGTAGTACTGAGGCATATTGAAGTATAAGTAGGTACCTATACTGTTACGAACTTTTATATAGTTATAAATATTAATGTTATAAACTTATTTTTCAGATCAGGTAGGGAGACGTATGGAGATAATGCTGTAGGTTATGTAGAAGTGAAAAGAGACAAAAATATTTGTTTAGTACGTGGAAAATTTTTTTTATATATTGACACCCCCTTACCTTTGTTATTTTTAAAGATTGTTTTTTTAAGAAATTATAGGAAATAAATTGTTTATCAGTAATGAAAATATTATACAAGGTGTCCCATAAGCAAACGCCAAAATTAAGTTACTTTTTTAAGTGAAACACCCTATATATTTTTGATTCTTTGGAAATTTCTAGATATTCTAGATATATTTCATGTATAATATCCTATACCTATCTTCAAATGTTTACGAAATAATGACAGTTGAAAAGCGAAAAATACCTACAATTTTCTGGACCAGACACCCTGTATATCTAGAATTAATTTTAAAAGAGAGTATATGAAAAACCATGCAACTTTTTTAATGTTTTCTTCTAAAACTTGCAGTTAAGGCTGTATGTGGGTGTCAAAATATAATGAATAACCCTGTACATTCAAATTTCATATACCTATGTAAGACAATATACATAAATATATGAACTTACATCAAAATGATTTTCACAACAATAAATCGTAAAAATAGAGGATAATTTAACGTTTTTCTTTTCATCTCTTCTCATGGCCTTAGACCATTTTTTTCTGTTTCCGCTCATCCATTACTATTTATAAATACCACTAATTACTAATTATGTATTAATTAACCCAAATAACTAAAAATTTGACTCGGATTCAACAGCGTTTAAAGCAAACTGTGTAAAATAAACACGCGTCTGGCTCCACTCAACCAGAAGAACGGCGGGTGACGTCACAGCGGCAAGGCGCGGTAGAGAGCGTTTGCCCGGCCATTTAAATTAACAATATTTAATTATTTTATATTAGAGGCATTTCTTAACCGATATCAACGATTTTTTTTGTTCAATTTGTAATTATATGAACTATTTTTTAAAACCATTATTTAAAAACATGCATTTTCCTCATTGTTGTCTGTCATGTGCAAATCGTTATTTCTGTCAATTTTTCCATGTCTGTTGAAAATATTTGAAACTATTAGTCAGTCTGTGCAAATAAAAACAATCTAAAAATAAATATTTAGTTTATAAGAAATAATAATTTATGCCTTATTATAATGCATTATTTGCGTTTCTAAAGATATATTATTAAAATAATATGTTACCATTAAAAAGTTAAATGAGCAAATTCACACAAAAATAAATACACAATAAAAAAATACAAAATACTGTGTAATCATAAGTACTATATGATCCAATAAAAGCTAAAACATAAAAATATTAAAGGTATACGTTCTAAATAATAATAGAATATATACTTGTTTTGATATGTTTTAAAAATAACACATATCAACCTGTCACTATCACAGTGAAAAACATGTAAGCTAATTAAATTACAAAGACATAAGAACTAAGACATACTTATATAATATAACGTAAAGAGACAATACAAACTAGATTTCGGCAGTATCAAAAATATCATGAAAAAAACAGAGATTTGGAAAATTTACATATGAAAAAATAACACAATCTTATTATTTGTAATTTAAATAATTCACAAGAACTTAAAGCTTCATTCATAACCTCGAAATTAGTGGTTTCAATTAGCGTAGAAGTTTGTTCTTTTAATGTCAATGTAAGGCATTCGGAACGTCAAAATTAATGGTAGACATGTTCAATTAGTATAGAAAGTTATCAAACTTTTGACTTTTCCACTAATCATATACATTTTTGGCCTTTGATTATCTTCCCTCAAGAGAAATTGTGGTCAGAAACCAAACCAAACAAATAAAAAAGAGACTGGTAAATTAAATGGCAAAGAGAGGGACAACGTTCCCGTAGCGCAACTCAGAACCATCTTAGAAAATTTCGTTCTATTTATGTTGATCTGCGCATTACGTCTATTGGGCCCACTATCTCATTCTAATATAACAAGAGAAAAAGAAGCAGCCATATAAAACGTAATTTCTAAATAGAAATTAGAACAATCGCCTTTCGTTTTCGTCATCATGACAACCAAGATGACAACATCATGACAATTCGTCATGTTTGTTAATTTTTCTTTTGGCGATTTACCTTTTTTTCTAAACTCTCCATTTTATTGACTTATGAATATGGATAGGAAACAAATTCCTTTGTTCCATATAGGTATTTATATTTTGTTACTTATAATTTTAGGTTATACTACCGTATGATCGAAAAAAAAAACGGCGTCCAGTTGGCTGGGAAATGACGATCGATGACATTTCCCATATAAATTTACATATAAAGTGACAGCGATCTTCATTTCATAGCCATCGTTGACGCCGTTTTTTCTCGATCATACGGTATTTGTTATTTTATTTGCTGCAGGAGCCATTATCATCTATTTTTTATATGTATTGGTGCCCCCTTTCTCTGATAGATATGTTAAAGACACCCGGTAAAATAAAAGTAAGTAGTTATATTTATCATCTTATTAAGAAAAAAGTAGAAGTAGTAGTGTCAAAAATATTTCGAACCTCCCTTAACATAACAAATTAATACAATTAATTTTTTTCTTTTTTTGGGTAGGTAGTTTATAGCTGGTTTATAGAAGATTAAAACTAAACTTGAATATGGTTCAGGATCATGATTCTCGTAAAGTCTTCTTTGCTTGGATATTCACTATATTGCAATTAGGCAGTTTTTTCGAAAATGAGATTTTTAATGGCCTTTAAAAAAATTGGCCGATCGTTTCCTGCAACAGTCAGTTCTTCTGCATTTAAAATTGGTAGGTAGGTGGAATAAACACTGTTATTTTTTGTTATTATATTATAAAAAGTTTATTTATTTTTATGTATAAATAAATATGTTAATAAAACAGTACAATTTTTGCTTTTTTTTATAATTTTCCTTATAATAGTAGTATTCTTTCGTTCTGAAAGAAACTGCAAATTTTCACTTACACTGATTTATTCCCTACACCACGTTCCTTTTACGTGGTATAGGGAATAAATCAGTTTAAATGAAAATTTTCAGTTTCAGAATGAAAGAATACTACTATTAATGGCTAATTTAAATTTTCCGCCAGCCAGAATGTGCGATAATGTCTTACGATACGTTTTATACCTATCTCTTTCTTTTTCATATAAAGCACACATAATAAAGAAAGATATAAATAAAGATGTACGTCCTGCCATGGTCCTGCTAATTGGTTTCAAAATTGTTATTCTGAGTTGAGCTACGGGAACGCGGTCCTACTCTTTACCATGAGATTTGTCAGTCTCTTTTTATTTGTTTGTCTATGTTATAAGCTAAAGATTAGGCTTTCTCTATGGATACAACTGACTAACGCAAGCTGTTGCTAGGATATTCTATTAATTTTAATTGTGTTTTTTAAACATTGTAAATGATCGTAAACTAAAAAGTAGAAAGTGTAATTATAAGTCAAATTTTATCTATGGTGTAATTAAAACCACTAATTTATCCCACTAATTGTGAGATTGTGAGGTTCTGAATGATGCTTAAGTCTTTCACAGCTTTCACTTAAAGAAAGAAGAAGATAACAGGCAACACATAGAGTAATGTTGAAAGTAAAATGTCTTATCATCAAAAGTCAATCATTATCTGTTTACTATTTATTTCTCATCAAAGTTTCTCATCATACTTACTGTACCCTACAGTAAAAATATTATGAAAATAAAATACTACCAACTACCAAATAACAATCTACAAAATTTTAAAATTCTCAGTTTATCAAAAAATACTGAAATAAATTTTCTTTTGCTAAATAGTTATTACCAGTTAAATGGAAATAAGCATTATCCAGTACCTAGTATTTTTTATATATTTTTAACCACAATTCAAATCTACAAATTATTTCAAAAGTAACAAACCTAAAATATGATCTATTCCTCTTAATTGTTGGTATTATAATTTCATCTTACAGTAATAATAAGTATAATATCATACACTAATCGAATATATTACTTTCACACTATTACAAAAGACATAAATTTATAAGTTGGTAATCTAAAAGTCGGAAAATCACAAAAAATATAAAATACCTAACTCCCAACAGTTTATTACGAATATTGGAATATCTTAGTTAACTA